TTATAAATTTTAAACGAAAGGCAGGTAAACACAAACATTTTAAAGACAATTTGTAAGAGATTCTAATGATACATATTTGGAGAGCACAGTTTCTGGTCTCCATGAAATGAGCCAGCTAAGTCAAGTTCACTGGATGAAGGTGCCAGTAAATAATCTTTGGCACTCTAAATCACTCCTCTCTTACTTCCTTACAAATCACTCAGGAGAGAAGTAATTCATTTCAGTAAATTCCTTTGTCTAGAGAAAGGCTTGTAATTCACCTAAACATCCTGTGCTCACAGTCACCAAGTTTTAGCAAAGTGGAACTCTATAAATATCACAACGATAGCTCTGCCAAAGGACGTCTAGAAACTCGGAACCAGTTTTCCCCAACCCAGACTGTGCCACTGACTGGCTGTCTGACTTCTGTCAATCACTCTCCACCTCGAGTCTCAGTTTCTGGTTCATAAAACGTGGCTCCCAGACACTTCACCGGGTTGGAGGTTACACCTGGAACATAGGAGGTACTCAGCACATACCTGTTGAAGCTGAATAAAGGCCAGTCGGTGATGCTCTAGAACTACTAACGCTAAAAGTCATTTTAGTCAAAGTTATCTTCTTAAGTAGTTCTCTATATTCCAAAATAATGTATACAGGTGAAGTGATCATCTTCACACGAACAGCATGAATGCATCAATAGACCACACATCACTACACTACACCTGGTAGGCTTCCAATTCACTTGAAAACTAATGGGAGGGAACTCACCTTCACAATTAGCGGGAAAGGTAACATTGGAGCATTTATTGTCTCCAGAGTACTTTTATTAGTTTGTCAAACAAATCACAAGAAATAATCCATTTGATGAAAATTACCGAAGTTTTTTCTAGAATTACTGTCTGCTAAAGAAAATGCTATCTTGAAAAATTCATAGGTGACCTTTTTGACTATTAATGATTACAAAAATGCTGAAAATTCTTGAATTTCTCAGTTGTTAGCTTTCTCTAGCCCCATACGATAAAATTGCTCATTGTCAGCCTACTTTAAAATTTTAGTGGAATTAAATTAATTGTTGACTAACAAACAATATGCAGTGAATAAAATGAAACACTGGTCACTTTTTAAGCAGCCTGCTTTTTAAACAGAAGGTCTCCAAAATATGAGGTTGTAAAAATATCAAACATTAGCTTTTGGCTTGTTAATGTAAAGAATGTTATTTTACAACTATAAGGGAAAACGTCAGGTCTGGAATGGATGGACTAGTGGGGACAGAGTGACAGAAACAAAGACGACAGAGAAATAAAAATGTCTCCTAAGCAAAACAAACAATTGGCTTTGGGATTTAACAAAATATAATCTTATTTGTCTTTGCTCTTTCAGCAGTTCTTTCTATATTATGACAACATGCATTTCCCCTTCTCGAGCCATGATTTTCTTTTAAGGAAAAGATTGCTGATAATTAGGGGTAACTTAGAAAAGGGATGTTTATTGTCAGTAGTTCAGCACATTAGCTTTTTGTGCTTAGAAAATGTATTTACAATAAGTTTTAATGCTAAAAATTATTTTCGTTTAGTTCTGGAAAGAGGTAAGACAAGAATAATTGAATCAGAGAAGATTATTGAATTGTAGCTGAAGAATGAGTAGTGCTTACTTTAGGGATTTAATTTAGTAGTAGTGTTTACTATTTAGTGAAAATTACTTTTAATAAGAAAACAATTATTATTATGAAACAGCTTGATATTTTAAGGTTTGACAATTTAGTATACCAAAGCTAAATCCAATCATCTATACTTTATCAGGCAAATTACAGTACCACATGTCTGTTTAGAATTTGCAGTTAAGTTCTAGCCATGATTAAGAATTAGGAAACTATCTGTATAGCAAATAGGTCTTAGTTAAACATATCATTAATCCATGCTGCAAGGTATTGTCCAGCTCTCTGGAGGATGACAGAGTCACTTTGCTACCTGAATAATCCCAGTCATTCTATCATGAGTTTTTCGTCTCTGACTTTCTGGACAGGCCTAGAGTAGACATTTATCTTTCAAAAGGATGTTAAAAAGGTACATGAAAAGCCTGTGCAAAAATAAACTGTAGCACCTCAGGCTTCTTAATTTTTACACTATAATACCTTGGACTCTTCTACCTTGACATATTCAGAGTGAATTCTTTGATGAAAAGAGGGAGAAATAAATTACATGTGGAATGAAGAGAGCCTTTATTATCATTTTAATAGTCCACAGACACATAAAAGGAAGATGCTTTCACTGTGGGGTGGGACCTAAAATCTAAAAATATCCACTGACTTAGTAATAAAAAAATTTAATGTGATACAAAAAGTGGAAACCGTTTTTTGAAGTAATGGGAATATACAAGATTTCAAGGACTTCAAGAAAATTTAATGAAGAAAAATAAAACTAAAACCATTTAAATGGCTTTGTACTTAACTAGAGTTTGTCTCTCCTTTGACATTTTTTAACTTAATGGAAATACTGAATATATACATAGACTATCAGAGATCATGGGAAATGAAATTCCAGACATCAGAAGCCATCAATTTTTATGAATAGTGTCATAAAATAGCCATACCAACAGCCCCCATCTTCAGGAGACAGCCCACAGATTAAACATGGACATAATACGCAGTTTAGGCTGGGGGCGTTGGATTAGAATGTTATTTCTGCCTAACCTTTTCAGGATATTCTAACGAGATCACGCATTTTCAGTGAGTGCAGATTGCCTTCAGGCTCCTTGCTTTGGTTGGGATGGTGGTTTGGACGTTTTGAATGAGGGGAATGGTGGCGGGACCCTTCCCACGTGTTCCCAATTATCTATACATTATGGCACGTTCTTTGCCACTGAGAATCTCTCGCCAGAGCTATGATCCTTCCAAACAGCATCCATTTGGATGTGCAAAAATGAAAATGAAAATAGGAGGAGGGGGTTAACTTATTATTATTTGAATGACATACAACCTGTTCAATGTTTGCATTTAAATTGGCCAGAATAATTCAGCCCTAGCTTTTAATTTCAGAAGGGTTAATCACCCTAACAAAGGTCAATCAAACTTTAATCTTCAATAAAATTGCGACAGCCCCAATCACCTGCAGGACATTTATTACATTTCATTTTCCATGCAGAAGAATGCATTGCTTTCATTATGCATCACTAATCTTCTAACTCTTTACATTAGCACATTTTACCAAAAAAATATTAATTCCTTTGAAACTCTGACAAGAGTTCATTTCTACACATCTCAGGAGATAATCCTGTTTAAAAGAGGGAGTGTATTAGCTGTGAACCACTTTCCTGGCCCTGTCTAATCCTCATAGACCTCCCTAACTCCAACTGCGTTTATACAATAGCAGATCTCAATTACACAAAACATTATGGAGGTTCAGGTTAAAACAACATTATATTATTTTGGGAACTTAATCCTCCCTATTGTCTGTGATTATACCATTCATCTACTTGTTTCTGTCCATAATGTTTACCATGTGCAAAACTTATTATTGATTTGGCAGAAGCAAATGTTAACCGTAGTTGAATAGCAACTGAAAGACTTAAATTCATTAATCCATTCACTCAATAAATATATATTAGGTGCCTATTATCCCTGGATACTAGGAAGGGAGAGATGCAAAGTTAAAGAAAAATAGGGAGAGTTTCTGTCGTGAGAATAACATTCTCTTTTGAAAATGATGTCTGGAATATAATAAAATACTGATTTAAACCTCCACTTTCAGCCTTTGTCATTAATGCCACTCAATTTTAGAAAACGTTAAAATGTAAATCAAATTTTAAGCAAAATTTCACTAAGCAGTTTTTTAAAAAATCATCTGGACACTTAAAGGCTTTAAAATTCATGATTCCATAGAATAATTCATTTTTTAAATTTGAGAATATGAAATTTGATTGTCAAATTTTAAAATGAGTATACTCAAACTTTCTAATCTCCCGTGGTTAGGAATAAAACCATGAGACAGTTGAAATGGACTTGTTAAACACATGCTTGCTATAAATTGTTTCCAAAATTATTTCATGGTGTTTAAACATAGCGATTAACACAAAAGATAAATAGCAATGGACAAAAATGAATTGTTAGGGTTGTTTTTTTTTGCCATGATATAGTGACCCAGATGACCGCATAGGAAAAATAAAAGAACCTTAATGTATGCCTTCAGTTATCTAGTAAATTGATTGCCTTGGTATCATAGCAGTGGCGTGACACAGCATTAAGAAGCCAGACTTCCCCTTCTTCATATCTGCTGAGATGCCCTCATGTTTCTGTGCTCAGAGGAAGCACACAGGCATGTGCAGAAGCACACGTCCCTTCTCACTGATAGTCACGTTCACTCATTAGCAATATGTGACGGCTATAACCTGGGGAACTCCCCAGAACTTGAATATCCAATCGAGCAAAGCAGATCACAATGAAAAGAAAAGACAGGTATAACAGTCAATGGCGAGGCCGACATTACGGAATAGCACATAAATTCAAGAAATACAGATCTTTCTAAATGTTGTCAAAAGTCCAATTACTTTGTTCAGTTAAAATCAAGATTTCAGCTCTCATGTCCCCCACTTTGAGCATTTCTGGAAACTCAGAACCTCTATGTCTTCTATAACTATGCGGCCTCTTTTTCCACTCCTGCAAGTGGATTGACACAATAGAATGAGGCAGAGAGATGGCATTTATGATGTTGAGCAAAATAAATCCAATGCTTCACAACATAAATGTTCAATAGATCGTTGTTGCCAAACAGTAATTCCAAAACCTGATAAAGATTAGCTAGACGCAATAGGCAAAACTCTCAGTATTGAAAGCTATTTCATTATATTTCTGAATTTCCAGATTTAGAAAAAACCCAAAGCCTTTAGAGAATATACTCTACATGCTCAATAAGCATATGGATCTTTTTATGAATCACTTTGGCCACGAAGCCAAAAAGAACTCACCAACCATCAAACAAACATCTTACTAAGGAATCCCAAGATGTATAATTATAAAAGAAACATACCTTTGGCTGAACGAGTTGGCGATTTCTCCTCGCCTTGCCTACACAGCTTTGCCACTCCACCTCGGCTCCGTATCCCTTGTGATCTTTGTGACTATGCCGTCATATCACGGGCAAATTTTTCGATTAAACTTTGCAAATGCAGTAGCAACTTTGTTAATTATGATATTAGCCATCTGGCGGGTACAATCACTCAACCGCTGTAAGAAAGGCAGACAAAGAGACATCTAATCATTGCAACCAGAACAGATAAATTTTGTTCCTTTCTCATACGTGTCACAGAGTCTGTCCCTTCTGACCCTCTCCTCAGCCGGTGACTGTCAAACTGAGATTCTGCGAGCTCCTAGCTTCCCTTTATCCTTGCCTTAGATCTGAAACTCCTGGTTATCAGGAAGACGTGCGTCACCAGCTGTCTCAGAGCAGGAAAGCAATCAGGTGAATACTACTTATTATCTTGCATTGCTTTCCGAGCAGTGACAAGATTGATTTGGGACCAAAAATACATTCAGCTCTCAGACATGTAGTCCCTAGGGTTTGAGTTCAAACAGCAGGGTATGTGCAAAGTTGCAATACCGGAGGACTTCAATCCCAATGTTAAGGAGATGGGATAGTAGAAACGTAAGGACAATTTAAAAAAATCTATCAGAGTTCATTTTTCAGATGCCTTGGTACTCCCTTAACTACCTTTGTGCTGCCTAGTAATATCGATGGGCAGATTGTTACCCAAAGGAGCCAGCCGTGGCTAAGTAGCCTTACGTCAACCCATGGAAGTGTTATTCCAATATTATTGTCTCCCCACATCCCTTTTTCATCAAGAACAGTACTCTAAATGTTTCAATTTCTGGAACATATCCTCACATAAAAGTTCAAATCACACTTATACAGAATAATATGAGACACACATTTGGGCATTTCAGCTAACAACTGTTTATAAACAACTTTGAATGGAAAGATAGACATCTAGCTCTACTTGTCTTAATACAAATTTTTCCTTGAAAACCATCAGTCCACTAAAATCATATGGAAGTATAAATCTATTAATCAATCAATAGGTAGATATACACACAAGTACACATAACCAAGTTTCTGAAATTTAAATGCATATTCAGTATCACGAATAACATTCCTACAAAACAATATAACAATATTTCTGGTAGTAAAACATCCATTGATCAGTAAAAAGCTTTATCTGCTTAGTCAGCCATGAAAGCAATGTAATATTTACTAAATGATGTTTTCCCCATTGAAATTTTAAGCACCAGTGAAGTACCAGTTGCGTACTGCAGAACTGAAGAAAGCGTAATATACAACATGATAAGTTATGTTCATCAACAAATTAGGAAATCTTTCTGGGAAGGAAGAGTTTGATGGAAAGTTAAAATGCAATTCTGAAGTGCATTTTACACAGGAATTCTATATATCCGGTTCACTAAAAAAACAAACTGGTTATTGTGATGTGTGGAAATCGCAATACAGTGTATTAACAAACCATGGTATGTACCCAAAATTTACATTTTACTTTCACTTTAGGACATTTCTGTAATGGAGGGTCCCAACTCCCTGTACTTGGTTTATTTAGCCTTAAGTGCTAAAAAGATAAATGTGTTTAGATGCAATATTCCCTAACTACAGAGCAAAATACTTTCATCCTGGAACAATAAAATGTTTTCTTCAATCCCACCAGCACAGAAATGAGAGGAGAAAACATGGTTTTAAAAATTCTTAGAAATCATACACATGTACATCTCGCTCTGAAAATAAATTATTCTTTATCCTTTATGTCTTACGGTGATATTAAGAAATGAGTCAGATGTCATAAAAGCAAAAGAAAAAAGGAGTCAGAAATGTTAGAGGACAAGGCTGGGTTGTGGCACAATGTCAAGGACAAAAACGTCTTAGCTGTGATGCCGTGTTGGGAAATGGGCTGTGCCCCTCACATTCACCATCATAAGCTTGGTGACTATCATGGACCCCAGTACATAGTAGTTTCTCAAGAAATCCTTGTTTGATGAAGAATAAATACTTTTGTCATACATACCATCCTCCTCAAAGCAAATGTTACTTTCCAAAAGTGGATTCACCTACTTCTAAAATTAAATAATGCCAAAAAAATCACTCATTAAGCCCATGTTGATCACTATATGTTACTTACTATATGTTCATTCAAAGTATACCACTTAAAATACTGATGAAGCAGTTCATACATAGAAGAGTTAAAAATAAACATTTCCTTTAAGGTAACAAAATAACTGTTTCAATAAGGCTCACTATTTGCTTTCATGAAAATAATTCAAACTCAGAAAGTTAAAGATGAGCCAAAAAGGTCTTTAGTCTTTGACTGAACAGGGGACTTTCTCTTAGGAAATGCAAAGAGAATAAAATACATTACGTACACAGCATTTTTCATTGCAGTAGCACCCATCAGAGAAAATGGAAACAGCCTAATGTCCCCAGTGAGAGAAATTATTAAAGAAATTATAGCAATTACTCGCATGCAGTCATTATGTGATAATGAGGATGACTGAGAAAACCAACTTCTGTTGACTATACTGAGTGAAAAAAGCAGAATACAGGACTGTACATACATTGATTACTGAATACATTCAGACAAAGACTAGAAGGGAAAATGCCACAATAGGAAATATGTTGTGTGGGATTAGAAAGGGTTTTCTTCTTTTACAAAGCTCGACTTAACACCATTATAACTGTTAATCTCCAAAATAAATTTTGGAATAAAGAACCCCATCTGTAAAATGTGGGCACGAAGTCCCACTCAGAGCAGAACCACCTTTCTCAAGGGCAAACCTCACGAATGTGTACTGTGCGAATACAATGTGTAGGTGTGGAATGTTGTAAAGATGGAAGCAGTCAGGGAGAACAAAGCAATCTAGACTCGAAAACATGGTCTGTGGGGAACCACGTGGCTCCATACCGACCACCGAGTCCCACTGTGCTAAGGAAGCTTTCACAGGTGTGCCACCAACCCTCTTCCGTGGGCCCTTGCGACAAGCCCTTCTTTATCCCTGTGGTCACGTGAACATGTTGAATTAAGTCTCATATGTAGATCCATTCCAGGTCTGCCTTCCAGCCTGCTGGATGGAAACTCAAATGTCTACATTCCCATCTCTGTTAGGCTGCAGTCTCAGGAGCCAGGCATCCGGCTGCCATGCCATTGCTGGCTCCTCACTTACTAGCTCTGGTGCTTTGGGCAAGTAATTAAACCTCATTAAGACTCTGCTTAAAAAAACAACCCCGCCTTGTGATGCTATTGGAAACATTAAATAATACATGTCAATTGCTTAGCACATCGTAGGTATCCAATAAATGTTCTGTCATTGCTAAAGTAGCCATGGAAGGACTGGGAAACTGTCCAGGCCAGCAACAGGAGCCAGGGATTCAGAATTAAGCTTTTTGGGTCAATTCAGATTCTGGCTTTCTCACTTAAATAATTAACAACGACAACCGTCATAACTTCCCCACAGAGTAATAAGAATTAAATGACTCCTATCAAGTATTTACTGCATAGTAAGTAACATTTGCAACTCTTAGTATTACTCTCCTTCCTATGCTAATTGGTTATTTCTTCCTTGTTGCTTAACTATTATTGTACAGGACAATTACATCAGGACTTTGCGAAGACCAGAGAATAAATATAGTCCTGTGTTTGACAACAGGTGGATGAAGATCTTCACTGCAGTACTATTTGCAATAACAAAAGACTGAGAGTGATGGAAAAAGTCACCGAAGGTTAAACGAGGTATGCCCAGACTGTGGAAGGCCACATAGCCATAAGTGAATGCAGAAGTACTATTTCTATGATACATTTTAAGGGAAAGAAGCATGCTGCAGAACCATGTGTATTATATACTATCATTCTGCTTAATACAGATTTTGTACATAACGTTATTATGCTTAGAGAATATCTCTGAAAAATACACACAAAACTTCTAACAGTGGTTGCTTCAGAAGAGAAATGGGCTTGGGGGTAGAAGTGAAGAGAAAACTACTCTTTACACTATTTTCTTTGCTATGGTATGAATTTGTTATATATAGGTATCCTTTAAGGACATTAACAAATTTCACTTAAAAAATTTCATCATCCCTACTTAAATGTGCAACCAGTATATTTCGTATTTTTTATAAAAAAGCCTGCACACCTTCTGCCTTCCCACGTTAGTAGGCACGTTAGCTTGTGCCTGCGGGGCTGACACACAGGATGCGGTGCTGTGGTTCTGAACCATAACGTGGCCTCACCACTCTCTGCTTCCAACTCTCATTTCAGTGCCATTTTCAACCGCATTTGTTGCATGAGTTAATTTTCCTCGCCCAGTCAATGCCAAACTATTGATATTCCTGCCATATCTCCTTTCTCAGAGGATGTTTTCCTTAGAAAGGACTTAACTCGGCACGAGAGACAAACTGCATTCCTACCTGCTGTACAATTCTAGAGTCATTTCAAGTAAGGAGCCCTCTCTTCCTGTTCCCAATGTGTGAATGTTTGTCCTCTGTCAGTCTGCTCTCAAGCTAAGTCTCCAAATGCCAGCAGAACATGCAAAGCCAATGGCTTCTAATGGGGCACAGGATAGCACATAGCACATATACCTCGTGTGTAATACATTGTGAACAAATCACCTTAAAGTCTGATGTGCGCTTACCACTTAAACTTCTTGTATTTTCAAATATGCAAATTTGAGAATTCATTGCCGATCATAAACATTATCTAAACAAATGCTAATTAATACCTTCTTAGGAATTGTCCAAGTGATACGTTGTCTCCATGTTTGAAACAAATAGTCTTTTCATCTTTTAAAAGGTGCAACTACCTTTTAAATATCTGTGATGCAATTACAGGTATTATGCATCAGAGTGCTTGGTTTTAATGGGGCGACCTTAGGCAACCTGTGGCTTCTTTGTAAAACAAGCATTGAACCCAAAGGGGAAAGATGATGATTAAATGGGTTAGTTAATGCACTAGACACAATGATCAACACTTGGGAGCACTTGGTAATGGATGCTCTCATCAGCAGCATCGTCATTGTCATAATCATTAATTTTAAACTCCATTAGATGGTCAATCGCACTTCCAGGGTATGAAAAATCTCCTTTTTTTTTTAACGTTCTAATTTTTCTTTTCTAGAGTAAGTCCATACTGCAACTGGGAAGAGTTATCCTATAGATCAGCACTTCTTAAGCATTCATG